CAGCCAAGTCTGAGCCCAGAGGGACCCTTGCACCCACTGAATGCCTTGCCCATAGATGGTGTTGGCCAGAGTAGTGGGGATTGGGAATGAGGTCACAGACACTCTCTCTAGCCCATGCTTCCCCTCGCCCTCTTGGGGCTACTTCCCATCCCCCTCATTGCCAGGAGGTCTGGGGATACCTCAGGGCACCCATGTCCCCACCTGCCCTATGCAAGCCCCAGTGTGGCAGCAATGGCTGAGGGGAAGAGCATGGATCTGGAGTCTGACTGTGGGGGTTCAAATCCTCTTACCACCATGTGACCTTGGGCAAGGCAGCTCTCCATTTTCTAGTTCTCTGTCTCCATTTTCCCCTTCCCACAGCCTCTCGGTCAACCAGACTGTGGCCGCACAGTGGGTGACAGCCATGATGGGCACCCTTGTTAAGCATTTATTATGTGTTGGTCATATTGCATGCATATAAAATCTCTATTCTTTAAACTGGTGGCAGGGTGGGTGGGGGGCATCCTCTTGGCCTTGTTTTACAATGAGGTGAAGTGACTTTCTTAGGGACATACAGCGTTTCAGTGAAGGTGCTGGGACTGTCTCCACAGCCCTGGTTCTGCCCAATGACCTGTGGTCCCACTGTTACATCTGCACTGGCCCATGAGGTGTTGGGGGTAAGGCACGGCCTCAGAGGGCCCAGCTAAGGGAAGTTGGTCTGAGGAAGGGCTAGCTGGCTGGCTGGCTCTCTAGTTCTGGCAGAGTGCCAGAAGCCTCTGGACACCAAGGCCTAGAGGAGCTGAGACCTGGTAGTGGGGGAATACTGAGATGTGCTCAGTACTGCCCTCTGCAGGCAGAATCCAGAGCAGCAACAATACAGGTAGAGGGCTGGGGATGAAGGCTGCCTTCCAGCCTGTGGGCTGCTCTGCCAATCCAGAACAGCCAGTCTGACCCCAGCCTGGCCCAGGCAGACACTGGGGTCAATGCAGTCCAGCAAAAGGCCTTGGCTTCGCATGTCCAGGCCCTACTCAATTGGGTATGACTGGGGCATGATGCCTGGCATCACGTTTACTGGCTGTGTGTGCTAGGCCAAGTGGATTGGCCTCCCTGGGCCCCAGCTTTCTTATCTGTAAAATGGAGCCAAAATAGTCCTTTCTTCGTAAGACTGCTGTGAGGATTCAGTGACACTGATAGAGGAAAAATACTTAGTGTAGCACCTGGCACATAATATAGATGCTTGATAAGGGGTAGGACTGAATTTCTTTATTTATTGGTTTCATCTAGGAGCCAAGTCAGATTCAGAGTCTTTGCTTGAACTGCTCTTCCTGAGGGGTGGAAATTCTAAAGACAAGGTCATAGGCATTCCATTTTTGTCAAGTTCAATTCATTCTGAGAAGGGCAGCAGTGGCTCCCTCAGCTGAGAGGGGAGTTTGGTTGAGAAGTCCTTGCCAGTGGCCGCTTCCCACCTATAGGAACCTCTCCCGGCTCTATGTAGCACATTTGCACTGGCCCTGCCTCATCTTCCCCTGGGGCCTGGCTGGGTTCCCCCTACTATGCAGATGTGGAAACTGAAGCTCCATTAACAACCTCAGAGCCACAGGGCTCTTCCCCTTACAGAGCCCTTTCCATGCCCTCGTTCACTTCACCTTCCTGACAATCCCTGTTTCACAGGTGGGGATGGAGGACACCAGGTCATCTGCAGAAGTGAGTGTGCACCTGTGCATCCTGTATCCCCATCAGCTCAGGATCTCCCGGGCAGATCTCATCTCTCCCTCCTGGCCCAGTGAGTGAGCTCCAGGGTCTCTGACCCGCAGACTAGCCACAGGAGAGAATGCCCATAGGCACTCAGGCCCCTGCTCCCCTGGGGTTTGCGCCCAGTCCTGGGTCCCTGACCTCCCTCCTGCATTATTTCCTTTCTCACAATTCTGGGCCACTTCTGCTGACTCCTTGTTCCTTGTTCCTTGAGACTCCACAGGGGCCAGGAAGTACAGGTAAAGGGACAGCCCAGCCATTCCCAACAAGGCAACCCATTTCTGAATGTTGGAGCAAGCCCAGAGGGAGCCTGGGACTGGGATGTCCTGGATGTGACCACAAGGACCAAAGTGAACCAGTGCCCTCATCTTGCAGGTAGGCAGCCTGGGGTACTGAACCACAGCTGGACTTCCTGTGTGGGCACAGGAAGGACTGAACTACAGCTGCCCAGCGGGGACTGGCAGGGGTAGATCCCAGGTCTCCCAATCTCCTCCACCCTACCCCTGTGCCACTCCTTTTTGTCAGTCTCTGGGGCTTTCCTTGGATTTTCAGGAAATGATTTGATCTGATAATTAGTATTTATCCTTTAAAAACAAGACTTGAGTGGCTTCTAGAACCAACCAACAATATATCTCCTGTCCCATCATGGAAGTCAAAGGGAAAATAGGATTTGATGTATGGAAATTAGCTTTCAAGGCAGCAAGCAAGGACCCATGAAAAAACGGCAGATAAGGTGGGCGTAGAATCTGTAGCTGCGATGTTAAATGTTACCCCTACAAGCCAGGATCCGCAGGTGAGATGGAGGCTATGTTGGGGCAAAGGGTAGGTGATGGGCTTGCCCGGGGGGCCCCCTGAGTTTGACCCAAATCTCCACCCCACCCCCACCCACCGGGCAAGACAGAGCCTCTTGGCCCCTGTCCCTGTGTGCTGCCTTATTCGTAAGCCCGACATTCCCCCAGGGGTAAAGCAGAAGGAGCGCTTCAAATCCACTTCCCTGCTCTGAAAATAAATAAGTGAGTAGAAAATGCTGGTGTACTTGGAGGCAGTGTGCCCAGACTCCTCTGAGCCCCGGGAAAGCTCACAGGTGGCCTATTTCTGACCCCTCACCTTGGGCCCTTGGATGGCGGGGCCTGAGACCATGAGCTTGGCGAGCTGAGTGTGGGCTGGTTTCACTCCCCACCTGCCCCCTCAGCACAGCTGCCTAAGCACCAAGGCCTTGCCTGGCAGGCTCCCCAGGATGAGGGCCAGGACCCACTGAGATCTCAGATGGGAAGTGTCCGAGTGACAGAGCACAACTGTTCACTTTGGGGCAGGGAGCTCGGAGTTGCTGTACCACTGCAGGCAAGTCCCTTCCCCTCTCTGAGCCTCATTTTTTTCATTTGTAAAACAAGAGGAGTTATCTAACCTTCTAATGAATTTCCCTCAGCTTCATCCTAAATTGTGTCTAAAGGGGGCCATCTAAGCCAGAACCAAAGGGGACCAAGAGATAAGGAGGAAGAGGGTTATTCAGCCCTGTTAGGGAGTTAACTTTTTGGCATAAGTGAGAAAATTGAGATTAGAGGTCACTGGGTTGCTTAGAGGGCCAAAAGCAAGGGAGGCAGTAGAACCAAAAGCAAGATACAAATTTAGCCTACCAAAATCTAGACATTCTTTGTTTTCTTAGTTTTATTTCAAGCATGCTAAGACAAGATGCATGCCACAGCTTCTGAACTGATACATCATTAAGTCAGAACACAGGTATTTATAAGCCCAGAATTTTGCAAAGGGTCACAAACTTGCTGAATGGAGTTCAAAATTTTTTTTAATAATTTGAGTTAAGCATCATCCTGTCTGAAATGTGTGAATATAAAGTTTTAGTAACATGATGGAAAACTATAGCCTGAACTTCTCTTTATTTATACATATTGTTAAACAAAGGGAATTTTCCTTTAGAATATTTTCATCATAGTAAATACTTCAGTACCAAACTGAAAATCATCACTTAAAATCTTTTTTAAAGCCACCACTACTATCTAAAAACTCTCCTTACTCAATTTTCCTAGTCACAAAACACAAAAGAACAAGACTATTTTATCTTTACAACCAGGTACAAAGGGCTTTCAAAATCCATTTCTGAAAGGGGTTCTTATTTACCACGAAATATTTTATACAGAAGAGTTTAAAAGTAGCGAAATGGTGTAATGACTAGGCTGAGCAGGTGCACCTAAATACCAGTGAATTATTAAATGATAACCCAAAACCATCCTTTTACAATCAACATAGGTTGTTATTCACTAACCTGCTACTACCCCAAAGAATATTAATGTTGTTGGAAAGGCTGCTTATGCTTGCTTCTCAGCTATGACCAAGTAGACTCTTTTAAGAGTGATGGAAACTCCTTCATAGGAGAGTGCATAGCACTAAAAGTTAACATTGCTTTTTCAATGCAGTTTTCACTCAAACCTTTCCAGGAAAAAATAAAATTATCCCCAAATAGAGTCCTTAAATAATACTACTACCAAAAGGCACAAATTCTGTTGTTGCTTTTTTTTGCCATTTTAAATTATCAGTAACTAAAATTCTCCAGATGTTTCTTTTTTGTTTGTTTTTGTTTTGAGGGGGAATGTTAACAAACTTTTCAGTACACATTCCCATTTGAGTTGGAGTCAAACTCAGATATTTCCCATGGAGAAAAGAGCCAGTGCTTTCAACCTTGCGGATCAGTGACCATGGAAGATGAGTCTCCTGAAGGTCAGATGCATAATTCTAGCCCTTCAGCTCCCACAAATCACCATCAGCAAATCCTAATCCAATCATGGCTCTTTCCAACGAGTTCTATCTATAGATTAATATAGTTGGCCTTAAATTATTTTGACTCTGGACTAATCTCTACCTGAATATTGACAACTAGGACCATAGTCTTTAAGGGGACCTAGCTCTCTTTAACCTAACAGTAAAAAGATCAGTAAAATTTTGTCTTTTGGATTCAGAACAAAAAGGTCTGAGTTTACTATTCCTCTTTTGTTACTAACGCCATTATCCCTTCTACAACTTTTGGTTGGTATTCTAGTGCAAGAGAGCACTGCTGTCTTTTATCAGCTGTATCTTTGCCTTTACATCAAGACTGAGAACACTGACCTTCTGGCCTGTCATTCTGTTTTAAGAGTTTCTGTGTTTTGTCTGCACCAGGATGATAAAAGTCACAACCCAGAGCAGTATTAACTTCGTTATCTCTGTGGAGCACGGTGTTCACTGCTCTTGCTATCAAGCGCTTGGGGCTGCGTTTTCTTCTTTCCAGGGGCAATATCATCAGCCCGGTTGCTTAACTGGTGATCTGTGACGTTTGAAATTCGTATTCAAGGTTGCTTGCACTTTCTTCTAACATAGTTTCAATGGCACCTCTTCCCGTCCCGAGATACTCAAGTGGGTCCGGGGCCCACCGTTTCAGGAGGGGTGAATACAATTCTCAACGGGGTGAGGGCTCAGGTATCAAAAAAAATATCTTAACAGACCGAAAGTCCCGATCCACCCTTCATTTCCCCGCGAGGGCAAATCTGGGAGTCAAAGACCAGAAGAGGCGGGTCGGGCAGCGGACCTCAGGCTCCGGCACCCTTGGCGCCCCGCACCTGCACGAAGGACTGACTCCCCACGACAACCACCCACTGCTCGGAGGCCGAACTTACGCCCACGCAGCCCGTCCATTAACTGGTCGGACACCACCAGAGGCGACGAGGACGCAGCCACCCAAGGGCTCCCTCAGAAACGATCTTATGCAGGAGAGCGGAGAAGGCGGAGCTTCGGCCGCACCCCTTCGACTTTCCCCGCCTTTGTTTCTTCCAGAGTCGCATTGGCTGCTTGCCGCGAGACGGGAGAACCGCGAGCCTAGGCTGAGACATAATTGGACAACATTGCTGCCGCTCGACCGGCGACCCGCTCGCGATTGGCCGTCGAACCCCTGGTTTGAATCGCAGTCCCGGCCGGGGAGGATTTGCCAAAGTGCCACGTTGGGCCGGGCTGCGGCTTGAGGAGCCGCTCGGGGCGCTGGCCCTGGCGTTCGCGCCGGGGTGAGGGCCGTTGGGGCTGTTGGGCGGCGCGAGGCGAGTCGGGAAGCCGGTCCGCGGCGTGCACTGCGGGCTGCCCCGGGGCGGCGGCATCAGAGCGCGTCGCGTCCCGCCCGACGGCGGCTCTGGCTGAGGGCGGAGGAGCCGGCGGAGAGCCCGGGGCAGCGGCTGAGGCGGGGCGGCGGCGGGGGCCACTGCCCCCGGAAGAGCCGGCCGAGATGCTGGCGGAAAACCTGGTGGAGGAATTTGAGATGAAGGAGGATGAGCCGTGGTATGACCACCAGGACCTGCAGCAAGGTGAGGGCGCGGTCGCCCCGGCGGGGAAGGTGCCGGCTGGCGGCTTCCCCTTCCGCGCGCAAAGCTGTTAACGAAGTCGCTTTGGCTGGCGGAAGCCGGTGCGGCGCTCACCTGGCGTGGGGCCCGCCCCTCTGCCCCTCCGCCGGGAAAGACGCCGCCGCTGGGCCCGGGGTTGGGCTTCTGCGCAGTCTTCAGCATCCCTGGTGCGTGCGGAGTGGTAGCGGGGCGCAGACACTGAATCAGGAAGCGCTTTTCCGGATTAGCTGGTTTAATCCTCGTAGCATTCCTTGGAGGCAGGGAGGGCTGACCAGGTTCGTGCCCTGCTGTGCCTTGACCCCCAGGGAGGAACCCCAGCCAGCGTCCAGCGTGAGTGCTGTGTGGCAGGAGCCGTGCCAGGCCCCTTGCACACATGTAATCCCCACAGTAGCTCTGACAGAGAGTACCTTTTGTTATCCCCATTCTCCAGATGAGGAAAGCGGAAGCCGAATCGACTGAGTGTGACATCCCTTAAGTGTGGGAGCAAGTCTTTTTGAACCCACACTCAACATTACGAGCCGTGGTCACTGTCAAACCCTTTCTTCACCACCCAGTTTACTGCCTCTTCAGTTGGGTGTTAGAGTGAGGGAAAAAAAATTGCTCTTGCATAGTTTACCAGATTCCAATGAAATGGTTTGAGGGCACTTCTACCTTTTGCCACTTCCTTCAGTTTGCACTCTAGCTTTTTGGTTAAAAACGGCCATTGGTAGCTTGACCTGCTTTGGATTTCTTGCTGATGGTGTCTCCAGAGAAGAGCCCTAGGGCGGCCGCAATTTGGAGCCAACCCCGTTCCCCTTGGTATTAAAGGCAGGAGCTCACAAATGGGGAATGGCTTTTTTGCGCCAGACACTTGGGGGCCCTTAACACAGGTGCTCTTTTCATCCAACAACGCTCTGGAGATAGAAGTAGATAGAAGTTTCTGGGAGAGCTAAGATTCCAATCCAAACTCCAGAGCAAACTCTCTCAACCTCTATACTGAGTACTGAGTGATCCTCAGGAAATTTTTTCAGACATCTTCTGTTTCTGCAGTTTTGTGTAAATCTACTTTTTCAGCCCTAAACTTGCACTGAAAATTAACATCTCGTTTAGTTGAATATTAAATGAACGTGGTGTTTGTTCATGCTGACCATTGAACTTGGTGGTGGGGGCGGGTGGGGAAGCATGTAGGTTTGAATGACTCAGAAAAGGGAAATAACTCTTTTGGGGGAAGGTGATTTCTTAAATCAACATGCTGCCGATGGTCACTTAAACCAAAGGATTTCACCATTAATTACACTTACACAGTAAGCTGTTCCGCAGCTGCAGTGTGTTTACCATCATGTTCTCAGTGTCTACCAGACAGATTTGTCTTATATTTTGGCAAACCTGTTTTCAGAATTCCCAGTAAGAATTGATGGCCTAGTTTGATACTTCTTCCAGGATTAATGAGGCAACCACTCACAATTGCAACATTTCTGCCTAATAATTTAAGCAGTTTGTATAGTCAAAGCTGACTATTTTCCTTTACTGTATTTAGCAAGCTGAGATCTGCAGGCTCATTTTTTTAATCTAACATAATACTTAGAAGATAATAGAAGCTCTGTTTTAATATGTGTTGAACTGAGGCATCACACAGGATTACTTACTTTCATTGCTCTATTCGACCATGTAACTTAGTCCACACTGCACTTCCCTGTGGGAAGTGTTTAGGAACAACCAGGTGTAATAGTTCGCTCTATGGAGAATCAGATGCAGCAGGTTGGGGTGACATGTGGAACTCTTAACCTCTGATCGAAAGGAAGTCATGAGGTGTTCGCGTGTAATGAAACCTTAACATAGGTCTGAACCTCCTTAATGCCAATTTGCGATTAGAATTTGTTCTGTGCTTTTCAAAGGACTTTTACATCTGTTATCACAATGGACTTTTGACATAACCCTGTATTTCATAACCAAGTGTGTGGGGTAGGAAAGATGGGAAATAATGGGAATCATAATATGGAAATACAGCCTGTAAAAGAATGAAGGCTGCAGTGTAAATCAAAGGAGATCTTTGTCCTGATTCGGTTAAATTGTACTTGAAAAAACTAAACTTACAATGGATTTTAAGATGTATTAACTTCTCAAAAATATACTAGGTATTCTGTGCCAGGTAGTCATCTCGGCATTGGGGCCACAATTCCTAGCCACAAGATAGGATAGGCAGTGCCCCTTAGTGGACTTGATGGTCTAGAAATGTGTTGACTAGAAAAGCCTAGACATGCTGCCTGCCAATATTGTGCTCACTACAGTGCTTGGCCGTGGTAGGCTCTCAACAGATATTAGCTGCTGAGTGAAGTTTGGGAGCAGGTCTGTTCTGTTACACAGATTAATAAACAGATCTAGTGGGATTTTGACAAGTGCAGACATCTGTCCATTTTTTAACATCCTACTTACTGAACAACCCTTATTTGGAGAGAGCTGTTAAACCACTTCTAAAGGTCCTGTTCTTAAAGTCAGAACTACACATTTTTTTCCTTTAGCCATAGAGCATTATTCAAGTAGATTGAATCTTTGTATCAAAGTTCACAGCAGTCCTTTTTAAACTGCTGAAAAATTCTAATCTCAGAAGGCTCTGGTCTTCTGTTCATACCTTGTTAGAAATGTAAAGCTGCGTGCAGGCAAATGAAGAAAAAACCTTTTGCTTTTACCAGACACTTTGATGAAGAGACTGTCTTTTGTCAGAGGGTTGAGTTGGCAGAGTAAAAGGCTGACAGTGATCTCTGTAGGTAAGATCCTTTCTGGGACAGCAGGAGCCTTCTGTGAAGGTAGTGATAGTGCTTGCTTTGAAATGTGCCCCTGAGAACAAGGTGTAAAGACTTCAGAGGCTGGATTTTCTTTTAGATGGGCTGCTGTTAAAATTGTTTGGTGAGCTGTGCAAGCTTAGAGTAAGGATTCAGGTTTCTAGTACACAGCAAATGAAATCTTAGTTTAAAGGAATCCTAAGATTTCAACCTCTTTTCAAGATGAGTACATTTTCCATGTATGCAAATAATTTGCTGAATCACTGCTTGAAGGGTCATTAAAATGAACATCATTTTTCTTGATGTTTATCTTCAGGTTTTTTGGTTTCCCAATTATAGTAACTTGGCAACAGGAGTTACACAGAAGCATCACCAAATGACGCATTTGATTTTGTAATAGGAAAAGCTTTCAGCCTTAATGTTACTAAATTACTGCTATAGACTGCAGCTAATGTGGGAATATGTTGTCCTTGTATTTTTTGAAGAACTGAAGTAAAATACAAAAAAAAAAAATAGCAAAGGAATTCAGAGGTTTCAGAATTCTGGAAGAAAGAACCTTTTAAAAAATCACTCAAATGCTAAAGCTAAGACATAGGGCTGAGTAGCTGTTTAAAGCTAACAGTTTTTACTGTCAAAATGATCATTTTCAAAGACTAATTAGTGAAAGAATATTAAACATGAAGGTGTAGATAGGTTGCAGTTCTCAAGACTTCAGTAAATCTGTGGTATTTTTAGTGGCTACCTAGGCCCGTTCAATAGGATTTAGAAAAACAACCACTTAATGAAAATCCTTACTGTAAAATAGAGATGAACAGGTACATAAGGCTTCAACACTGTGTTGCTTCCTTTTCTTTTGTGCCTTAATTAAAAATATAAATAAAAGACAGTAAGTAGTCTCCCATTCCCTCTCACCAATGATTTAGAAAACCTTCATGGGCTTACTGCCAGCTTTTGGCTCCTTTTGGTTATGGAAGCCAGATGCTGCACAACAGGAAAGGAACTTTTTTTAAAGACCAGAAAAAGACCCTTGACTTTAAACTAACAGATGAAGTAATATCCTATTATACAGTGTTACTTCACAGACATTTTTTTGTAGTTGAGACTTGTTTTGCCAGAGTGCTATCCTAAACATCCTATGAAATATTTAGGAGACTGCAGCCTCAGGTTACTGAAATGGGTTGGGGATTTGTTTAACTGGAAATATGGACTGAGATAAGGACAAGTCTCAAATTCTTGTCTTTTTGCTGTGCACTGGAAGAGTGCTGTCCTGGGCATCTCATTCTGCAGCTGCAGGAGCAGACAGCTTAACGAAAGTAGTTGAAAATGGTGTCAAGTTGCTTTTGATTCTGGGAGGGGCTTTGGCTCAGGTGTTGATTGCTAGTTAAGAACATCTGGGGATCACAGGAAGATGGCGGCATGAATAGTTTAGAGGAAATCTTCTCCCCAAAATATATATATATATTTATGAAAACACAATAAATACAACTATTCCTAAAAGAGAAACTAGTGGATGCAGTACAACAGCCAGGATACATCTACATCTGTGAGAACTCAAAGTCACACGAAGGTGATAAGATACAAGCTGCAGCCAAGCGGGACCCGAACGCTCCCCCACCCCAAAACCCAGCGGGAAGAAAGGAGTTGGAACTGGGAGGGAGTGAAAGGCCAGAACTGCTAAACAACCAGCTCTTGAAATCCGCACCTGGAGCACAGACACAAGGTGCACGGGGTGCTGGATATTAGAGAAACAGAAAAGGAAAACCTGTGGGTAGGTCCCCGCAACCGGTGCCCCTGAGACAAAAGAATAGCGAGTGCTTTCTGCAAGTCTTAAAGAGACAGGGACCCCATAGCTGGATGAAGTCGTCCCAGCACACTTAGCCAGCAGCTGGGAATCCCAGGGAACGTTAGACGCCCTAAACCCCGGGGAGGCAGCGCAGCTCTGAAGCCCCTCATGGCACTAAGCAGTCTGCCAGTCATTCCTCCAACTGGCGTGGACCCCGATACACCTGCCCAGTAGCGGGAGAGTGGCAGTGCGCGCCGGGGGGCAGTGGCGCCGGAAGGGACCGGGAGCAGATCTGGCGCCGGGGGCAGCGGCGCCGGAAGGGACCGGGAGCAGATCATGTGCACCAACGGCACCAGAGGGGACCAGGAGAGGCCTCTGCAAGCCCACAGTGGCGGCGACTGGACAGCCCGGGTGGGCTCATG